GTTCAAAAGGAACCGAGGCATAAAGTCCTTCAAAAAAAAAACAAAAACCCTACTCCGATTACCTTTGAACTGAGGCAGAATCCTAGCCTTTTATGCCTCGGTTCTGAACCGAGGCATAAAATTGTAGACTTTTTGCCTCGCCTGTATATGTCTCGGTTCAGGAACCGCTGCCTATGAGTGAAAATAACCACTGTCGTTTCCCCTGACTGCACTAGTGTTAGAAAACACCTCTCTTAAAGACACGGGAGATGAACAACACCTACCTTGAATCACACAAGGAATGAAACACCTATTTGAATTACACAAAGGATGAACTGTTTTTCCTAACAACAACCACAACATCAATCACTCAAGAACATACTTACTGAAAGTTATCGTTCTACCCATACTAGGTTTTACAAAGCCTCTTTTCGCAAACACAAAGAGTTTCTTTGGTAGTCATAACTATAAAACTCTCAATAAAAAGGTATTTTAGAAACTAGGTTTAGCCAAAATATATAGATTCTCTCTTTTGAAAATTGGGTCAAAAAGCTTAAGAGTCAAGTTGCAACTGTCGCTCATAATCGACTATTTTAAGAGATAATCGATTATCACAAACTTTAAAAAAAAGTTCTCGATGTGTTAATCGGTTACTAGAAGGTGATAATTGATTATCATACAGACTTTTCTAAAATTGATTTCTTTATGTGATAGTTAATCATTATAGTTAATCGATTATCATATATAAAGCGTTTTTTGATCATTTAAAACTTTTCTAAGTGTACAAAGCTACTTTATGATTCTCTAAATTAAATCACACACACAATTTTTTATAATGACTTATTACAAAAAGTTTTATTTTTAAACATATTAAAGTAAGTATTTCAATATTTTTGGTATGTTTGAGTTTTTGGACTTGCTTTTATCATAAAAATATCTTGATTTTCATCATCTTCTCTTCTTTGAACAATTTTTACCTAAATCATTCAAATTTTTTATTATTTATTAAAAAAACTAATATAATTTGAATTAAAAATAATTTAACATTCACACGCTTTTACAGTAAAATAATGGGGAGAAAATATTATTTTGAGGAAGGTTTATATGAAGAAGATGAGTTGATATCTCCGAGACATTCAATTGGGCATCAGTGCACATCGATGCTGCTGGAAACTTAGTTGAATCCATAAGTTTCTTTGGGCAGCAAGAGGAAGCGTTCCTTTAGCACACATTGCTATATACAAAGTTGGTTGGTCATCAGGTTCTGAGAATTAGACATCATTCGAGCATTTGATGAAGGCATTGCAGATGTGTTGACATCATTTCTATTTCAATTAGACCTAGAGAACCGTAAAACAGAACGACTATTTCCAAGATATATTCGCCATGGGGGCTTTCTATACTATGCAGAAAGGCATATATACTAATTTTGCTGATAATAGTGATGCAAAGAATTATACAATATCCAAAAATGTGTAATGGGCACATTCTGTAGCAGCTAGAACTATACAAGGAAATTGAAATTAAAGTAATTTAAAAAATAATTCTTATAAAATTCACATTTTAAATTTTATAATTTTCTCCTAAAAATATCTTTCTTTTATACTATTAAATTTTGTACGATTTTAAGTTTTAAGTTTGATCATACATACAATACAAGGAAAACATTAACATTGATATACAAATTAAAAACATTCTCGGGAACTCAAGTCATAAAAACGTAGAAGGATCTCAGCAGAAACCGTGGTAGAAAATGGTAATAGAGTAATCAAAGAAGAGAGAAAATGGTTAGAGTTATATGGATAGCACGTGCGATGAACTATTTACCATAAGAATTGGTGTGTGGGAGAAAATATCATTGGGGAGTAACTAGAGATGAAATAATGAAAATAATAAAAGAAAATAAAAAATCTAATTAAAAATAGAAAATAATCTAACTAAAAATTAAAAATAAAATTGAAATTTTAGATGAATAATAAATACTCGTTTCCTACCTAGCGGGTACTGATATAACGTTACTCGTAAATATAAGTTATTATGTCTAACATATTTTATCGACATAATTATGGTATTTTTGTCCATATCTTTCTTTAGCCATTGTTTTAAATGAGTGACGTGAGGAGAGAAAAAAGATGGATGAAGCACCTAAGTAAAGCCCAAGAGGACTTCAACAAAGTCAATTTTGAAACTTCTCTGCTGTGGATATGTAGGACAACAAATGCTAGAGATGAAGGAAGAGGTTCACGCGTTCACAATAACAACACTGAAATCAAAGAAAGCATTGACTTAAACCTTATCATATTTCAATTTGAAAGATTTATTGTTTTTATCTCATTTAGAAAGAGTTTCAGTGTTCTAATTGAATTTGTAAAACAAGGGAAGAAATGGCCCTATGTATGGTGGGAGAGGCTCTTATCTCTGCTTGTGTGGAGATCTTGATAAAAAGGATAGCTTCAAGAGAGTTTAGAGATTTCTTCTCCAGTAGAAAGCTGAATATTTCTTTGCTGGATGAGTTGAAGACAAAGCTATTGGTACTTAATGCTGTGCTCAATGATGCTGAGGAGAAGCAGATCACTGATTCTGCAGTGAAGCAGTGGCTTGATGAGTTTAGAGATGTTATCTTAGATGCAGAAGATTTGTTGGATGAAATCAACACACATGCTTTGAGATGCAAAGGGGAAGGCAAATCTAGAAAATTTGCCACCAAGGTAAGATCTTTGCTTTCTTCTCGCTTTAAAAACTTCTATAGGGGTATGAATTCCAAGTTTGAAGCAATATCTAGAAGGCTAGAACAGTTTGTTAGACAAAAAGATATTCTTGGCTTGCAAAGTGTTTCTAGGAGAGTGTCTTATAGAGCAGTAACAGATTCACTGGTTGATTCTGTTGTGGTTGCTAGAGAGAATGACAGGGAAAGGCTACTTAGCATGCTTCTATGTGATGATGGTGATGGCATGTCTAATGATGTAGAAGTGATCACGGTATTGGGCATGGGGGGTCTGGGAAAAACAACCCTCGTTCAATGCCTTTACAATGATTGTGAAGTGCAGAGTCATTTTGATATGACAGCTTGGGCGTGTGTGTCAGATGATTTTGATATTCTCAAGGTAACGAAGAAAATTGTAGAATCTCTCACATCGAAAGATTGTGACATTACTAATCTTGATGTTCTTCGTGTTGAATTGAAGAATAACCTAAGAGATAAGAAATTTTTGCTTGTGCTTGATGACCTTTGGAATGAAAAGTATAACGATTGGCATAACCTAATAGCACCTTTTAGAAGTGGGAGAAAGGGAAGTAAAATCATTATTACAACCAGACAACAAAGAGTTGCACAGGTCACACATACATTTCCTACTTACGAGCTGAAACCTCTTAGTGATGAAAATTGTTGGATCATACTGGCCAGACATGCATTTGGAAGTGAAAACTTCCATAATTATCCAATCTTAGAAGAAGTTGGGAAAAAAATTGCAAGAAAATGTAATGGTCTGCCATTGGCAGCTAAAACATTGGGAGGCCTTTTGAGATCAAATGTTGATGTTGGGGAATGGAATAGAATTCTGAACAGCAATATGTGGGCACATGATGATGTTTTACCAGCTTTGCGCATAAGTTATTTTCATCTTCCAGCACATTTGAAGAGATGTTTTGCTTATTGCTCCATTTTTCCAAAACAACATTTGTTGGATAGAAAGGAATTAATTTTGTTATGGATGGCTGAAGGCTTTCTTCAACACATTCATGAAGACGAAGAAATGGAATCAGTGGGAAATGACTGTTTCAATGAGTTATTATCTAGATCCTTAATTCAAAAAGAGAATGCTGTTGCAGAGGAAAATTTTCGAATGCATGACCTCATCTATGATTTAGCTAGACTTGTGTCTGGAAGAAGTTCTTACCACTTTGATGGCAGTGAAATCCCAAGAACCGTTCGCCATATATCATTTCTCAGAGAGATGTTTGATATCTCTGAAAAATTTGAGGGCTTGTATGAGCTGAAGTGTTTGCGGACCTTTCTACCACGATTGTCATATCCATTTGTTCAATGTTACTTGACCAAAATGGTATCACATGGTTGGCTGCCAAAACTAAGATGTTTGCGAATACTTTCGTTGTCTAAATACACAAACATCACTGAGTTGCCTAATTCGATTGGCAATTTGTTGCACTTGAGGTATCTGGATCTTTCCTACACCTCAATTGAAAGCTTGCCCGATGAAACATTTATGCTTTACAATTTGCAAACTTTGATATTATCAAATTGTGAATCTCTTATTCAATTGCCGCAGAAGATAGGAAATCTGACTAACTTACGCCACCTTGACATCAGTGACACTAATTTGACAGAGATGCCAACACAAATATGCAACTTACAAGAACTCCGTACCTTGACAGTTTTTATTGTTGGAAGACAAGATGGACTAAGTATCAGAGATTTATCCAAATTTCCCTATCTTCAGGGCAAGCTTTCCATCATGAACCTGCAAAATGTCGTCAATCTTGTGGACGTTTTCGGGGCCAATTTAAATAAAAAAGAGCAGATCGAGGAGCTTATTCTAGGATGGGGCAGTGATCCACAAGAGCCGCAGTTTGAAAAGGATGTACTTGACAACTTGCAGCCATCAACAAATTTGAAGAAACTCAGTGTCAAATACTATGGTGGCACTTCCTTTCCAAATTGGATTGGAAATTTTTCATTTTCCAAGATCACAGTTCTTACTGTAAGTGACTGCAACAATTGTTTGTCACTTCCACCGTTTGGACAACTACCTTCTCTGAAGGAGCTTGTTATCAAAAGGATGAAAATGGTGAAGAAAGTTGGTCATGAGTTCTATGGCAGCAATGTAGACTCACAGTTGTTTCAGCCATTTCAATCACTGGAGAATCTGGAATTTGAAGATATGTCAGAGTGGCAGGAATGGCTACCATGTGAGAGTGAAGGAAGAAACTTTATTTTTCCATGTCTTAAGACTTTGTACCTCTGCAAGTGCCCCAAGCTGAGAGGAACCTTGCCAACTCATCTACCTTCATTGACAAATGTGATTTTCTCAGAGTGCAACCAGCTGGTGACAGAATTATCTGATGTGCATTGGAATAAATCAATTGAAGCAATACATATTGCAGAGGGACAAGAAGCCTTGTTGTCTATGCTTGACAACTTCTCCTATTGTGAGCTATTGATTGAAAAGTGTGATAGCTTACTATGTTTGCCCAGAATGCTACTTGCTGCAAATTGTCTTCAAAAGTTGACTCTTACAAATATCCCATCTTTGATTTACTTCCCAGCTGATTGTTTGCTCACATCATTGCGATCACTTGAAATTTGGCATTGTAGAAACTTAGAGTTCATATCTCACAATACATGTCCAAAATTCACATCACTTGAAACACTGAGAATATGGAATAGTTGCTGCTCCATGACATGTTTTTCATTAGGTTGTTTACCTGTCCTTCAAGAGCTTAATATCCGTTTTATTCCCAACTTGGCAGCAATTACTACTCAAGGAGGAGAAGCAGCTCCGAAATTAGTTGATTTTATTGTCACTGATTGTGAGAAACTCAGATCACTTCCAAATCAAATTGATCTCCCTTCCCTTGAACACTTGGATCTATCTGGGCTTCCCATGCTAGAATCATTGTCTCCAAGGTGTTTGCCTTCTTGTTTAAGATCACTTCATGTTGATGTTGGCATACTATCATCTGTATCCAAAAAAGAGTTAAGTGTTCTATTCCAACGCCTATCTTCTCTGTCACATCTTCTACTCAAGGGTCTTGGTGAAGAAGATCTTGTTAACACTCTTCTGAAGCAGCAGTCCCTGCCTACTTCCCTAGAATATATGTTCCTTCATAATTTCAGTGACTTAAAGTTGTTGGAAGGAAAAGGGCTTCAAAATCTCACTTCTCTCCAAATGCTTCAAATGTATAACTGTCCTAGTATTGAGTCCTTACCAGAGGGTCAACTTCCACACTCTCTTCAAGTACTCAGTCTTAGGGAGTGCCCTTTACTGGAAGCAAGATATCAAAATCATAATGGGAAATACTGGTATAAAATTGCTCACATTCCTGCAATCAAGATAAATGAAAAAGTCATAATATGACTTGTTGCATGAATAAGAGTCATAAATAGGTAAATAAATGCTTCAATTGTTTTGAAATGTGCCATGTTAAATTGTTAATGTTAAGCCAATTTTATATTTAGAGAAAGAAATTTGTCTGTCAGACTTCCTGCTGACAACCACATCAATAATTATTGATTGATTGACCTTCTGTTTTAACCTGCTTTGGATTGTTGAGTACAGAATGATAATACATGTACGTCAAATCGTTTTTATTATTAAATAGACCTTTAGAAATAAGCATTAAAACATGTTTAATTGGAGATTTTTAAAGTACTGCTAAAGCACCTGGTGAGAAGAAAAGTAAGTATTATGACAGTACTTTATAGAGTAGATTACATAAATCCATTGCTAAAAGGATGGCATTGACAGGACTCAAATGCAGAAAGATAATGGTAGAGTACTGTGACATAGACTGAGGAAATGGTAATGCAGAAAGATATGAATAGTATAATCTGTGTTTAGTCTTCTTTTTCTCCCCTAATTATAGACACTGCGTGAAAAAATGTGTTTATACACTCGGGATGTGTGATTAGATGAAATGGATTGTTGTGTCTCAATAATCTATTTTTTTTTTATTATGGAAGTTGTCAAACTTGAAAACATTGGTTAGACATGACACCTTTAGATTTTTTGTTTTTCATAACGATTGCAGTTGGTAGCTGAGACTAGAACGTGGCGACCAATTTCTTCATATTTGCTTGCTGTGAACAGTTTATTGCATTATTTGCTTCTCAAGTGCCTATTTCAATCTTCTTATCACATTTAGGAAGTTTGTTTTGGCATGAATTATTTGTAACACTAGAAAGGTGTTCTATATATAATGATTTTTGTGGTATCATCCGAACCTCCATAAACTATATTTTGTATTAGACTTCTTTTTCATAATAGTGTTTTGTTATCTTAATATCACTACAAAAATATTATAAGATAGTACGGGTTTATTTTCGATGGCGGGTGAATTGGATTAAGCCTTAAAATTTTTTCTTTTCAAAATCTTTATGAAATATTTGGCTTTCTTGAAATCAATAAACAAGAAGTGATGAATCAACAATAAAAGAAAAAGAGTAGAGAGAAATATCAACATACACAGGTTTGGCTAATCCCAAACCTACATCCAGTCCTTCTTCAACAACCTTAGTTGAAGGGTTCCACTAAAAATTGATTGAGTTTACAAAAATATAGAGATACAGAAATATAGAGATTTCACTAAACAATGTACATTGAATTTATAGATTCTCACCACACTCAAAAACAATATAGTAATACAAGAGATGAATAACCTCACTCTCGTACAACACTTGACAACACTCTCAACTCTCAACACCTGGCCAACCCGCACAGGTACACAAATATAGAATGTCTATGATGATCTTGATCTTCAAGTCACACTCGTCTTGGTGCAGATCAAATCAGAAACATTTTAGCCCACTTTTCTTGAAAGAATCTTGATGTATAAGCAACCAATGTAGCCTTGATTCTCCAAGATCTCTTCTTGAATGCTCCTTTATTCAAAACTCACTGTAAACGTTAGTATTTGAAAATGATATCAATTGATTATTTTGAAACAGAACTCAAGTAGCGTATATATAGGAATTTTCAAATCCTAATGCATTATAATCGATTAAGGTTTTTATGTAATCTGTTAAGTTTTTTCTTCTGTTTTAACATGTTATCTTGAGCATATAATCGATTATTTAATCACATAATCCAGTTATAAATTCAATTGACAGTTATAACAGATCAGACTATTAAATGAAATGGATTTAACCAAAGTAAATTGACTTAATTGATTAAACAACTTATGTAATCGATTAACCTTATACGTAAGCAAATTTTCAATCCAATTTTCATTCTAAACAAATTTACTCACTTATGAAACAGATAATGGCATTGCTTTCTATTTTAATCGATTAGATGACTTATGTAATCGATTACTACAGAGCAGTTTGCTCCTTTAAGCATACAAAGTGAACTGGTGAAATCTAACAGATTATATACTATGTTAAATCGATTATTTCATCCAGAAATAAGATTATGAATCTATTTTAAGCATGATTCATTTATCAATAATGAATTCATATATCAAGTACAATAAAGATAAAGATAATAAAATTGGTATGTCATTTGTTGTGCAAGAAACTATACAACTGTTCTTTTTTTTATCATCAAAAACCAAGATATATAAAGGGTAGATTTAGCTCCCCCTATCAACAATCTCCTCTTTTTTATATGATGACCAACAAGAAACATGTTTTCCATTTAATCTCCCTTTTTGGGCGTTAGCAAAAAATGGCAGAACAAGTAATATGGAATATGTATCGGTTAAGACTTCGGCAAGTGTACCGAATCGTATCAAGTAATATAAAATGGTAAGACCAAGTATCATTTCCCAAGAGACTCACGGTACTAGACTGTCATGTAATTACTTAACTAATTAAGACTTTTGAAGAACAATTTGGAATTTTGAATACAAAACAAGAAAGTAAATATGAATGCACTTTTGACCAATTGAAAGAAAAACACAAATGTGAATGGATGATATTGAATATGAGATGAATATGTTGTTGAGGTTTAGATTTCACCTAGTTTACTCTCATGCATATATGAATTTATCTTCTTCATTCAATTGTTAACATCACTCTCTAAATTACTTAAAACCCAATCCCTTGGCGAAGAAAGTCTATCCTTAATTACTAGACCACAATCCCTTGCATCCCTAATAATTAATTCTACACTACGATTAGGAGCTTAAAATGACAAAAACTCATATCCTCATCCCTAAGCAATACTGCTTTTGGGAGCAATTCTCCAGAACATGAATTATAAGATACCTCCCGGTATTCATGCAAATCATAAATCATGCCATGAATGAGTTAAACATAACAAGCATTGAGTAAAGAAGAATTACCCTAACAATTAATGAAAGAAGCATATATAATTAAGATCAATGCAAATACATGAGAGTTCACAAGGTTACATCATCCCCAAACAACAAATAATGTTTATTTCCCCATCGTCATGGAGAAACTAGATGAACAATGGAATGAAAAAGATAGAAAAACCCTAAAAACTGATGAGGAGAGCTTCCGTATCCACTTCTGCCTTCAGAGAGTTGGAGAAAATCTGAATTTGTGTCAATTCTGTCAAGAGATACCGTCTCTAGGTCGAGCTAATCCTTAAATAGGGCTGAATTGCGCCATGGGCCAACATTGCCACCGCTCAGCGCCCCTACTTAGGGCGCTCAACGTCCAATGGAGGGCGCTTAGGCGTGAAACGTTGCAGGAAAGATGGTGCTCAGCGCCCCAAAAAGGGCGCCCAGGTGTGAATGCGAAGATCCAGCGCCGAGGGTCATGAAAGGGGCGCCCAAGCGTGAGTGCGACCTTCTGTAACCTTCTCTTCTAGTGCTCGTTTTGTCCTTTATGAGTTCCAACTTCTTGACAACTTAACTCCTCTTCCAATTCATCCTAATTTTCTACAAAACTAAGGTTATTTAGTGATAAAATCTTTTAGTGTAACCTCAACTCTTTTATTTCCCAAAATAAACCAAAATCAAGAGAACAAACAAGTTTCTAAGTCAAAAAGGGTTCATTTGATATCAAAATTTACTCTCAAATAACGGTGAAATCAACCATTATTAGTATCAAAAAGAGATATAACACTATGACAGTATTTTAGCAGTATATGATTGATATCAGAGTGTGTATTAGAGTTTAATGTACTAATTTGAAACAGTATATCAGATGTATTTCACAAGTATTAGAGTAAATTACAACCCAATGTGACACTTCAAAACAGTGTATCAGAAGTATGTAATATGTATCAGAGCATTTATACTAATGTCACATTAACATAACACTTGATATCAAGTGAATTTTTCAATACTCATGTAATGTATACAAAGTATATGAAGCAATGAGTATTATTTCACAAAAGATAATAATATATCATCTATATGCAATGTTTTTTAACTTATGATTCATTTACAATCAATGAACACATATACAAAGCATTTATTATGTCATTTGTTGTGCAAGAAACTATAAAACATTTCTTTTGTTCATCATAAAAAACACATGTGAGATGGGTTCTACTAGATCTAGCTCCCCTTATCAACAAACAATACTAAGCGAGATGATGTTCATTGGACACGTCCTCGCTGGGCGAAACATGCAAGTCTTCTAAGGGAAAAGATGATGAATCCTTGCATTTGATGTATTGTCCTCCCAAACTTCTTGGATCTTCCTAGCCATGTTCCTTGTGATGGGTCCATTGGTTGGACCCAAGTCATCATCTCCTGCCTCTTGAGAAAGATTTGTCCTCAAATTTGGAAGGTCGACTTTTATTTTGAAAAGCATGACTTTGTTGTCGAAGAAGCTCCTAACATTCTTCGAAGCATGCCAATTTTGGATGGCTTTATTTTTCTCGAGGTCCACTGTAACGGTTGATTTCACCCTTATTTGGGATTAAACTTTGATAATAAATGAACCCTTTTTGATTTAGAAACTTTCTTGTTCTCTTGTTTTTAGCTTATTTTGGTGAATAAGAGAGTTGGTTATACTTGAAGATTTTATCACTAAATTCCCTTGATTTTGTAGGAAACTGGAATGAATTGGAAGAGGAGTTAAATGTCAAGAAGTTGGAACTCAAAAAGGACAAAAAGAGCACCAGAAGAGAAGCCTGCTAAAGGTCGCAGGACGCTTGGGCACCCTTTTTATGGGGCCCTCAACGCACGATGCCTCGCACTCACGCCTGAGCACCCTTTCATGGACGCTGAGCGCCAATCTTGAAGTAATGTTTCACGCCAGGGCACCCTTCTTAGGGCCCTGAGCGCCACTCCTCTCGCAAGCTCGCCTGACGCCCTAAGTTGGGGCACTGAGCAGTGTCAACGTTGGCCCATGATCCAATTTAGCTGTATATAAGGACTTGGACGTCCTAGAAGGAGTATCTTTTGACAGAATTAACAGAAATTCATACTTTTCCAACTCTCTGGAGGCAGAAGTGGATGCTGAAGCCCTCCTCTTCAGTTTTTAGGGTTTATCTTTCATTCTCATTCCATATTTCATCTAGTTTCTC